AAACACATAACGACCTTAATCAGGGTCATCACTTCGTTCATTGACACAATTTTCATTTTAAAGTAAACGTTGACATCTGCATCACCATGCGCACTTTTGACAATAAAATTTGGAATCTAGCAACGGCAGGCAATTGAACTGCAAAATACTAAATATTACAAACAATATTCTGAAAAAATAATACGGTCTCTGAGTGAGCCGCTGACTCTCTACCGTCACACCAACTACTAAAACATGCCAAAACTTTATGTTGCGAGGTACAGTTTGTAAAGAGAAAAAACAATTGTTTCACATAGGCGAAGCAAAACTCAGCAACAATTACAAAACAACGCAAGCGAAGCATTGCAAGCTAGCGAAAAAAAAACTGAGACGGAAAACGCTACATGGTAAAAAACTGAATACAAAAGTTCCAGAAAAAAGTCAAAAAAGGAACACTTTTATTTTACCGAGCAGCTAAAAAGATGACAATACTTGGGTAGGAACCCATTGAGCCGAAAACAAAAAAATGCTTAAAAAAAGCTTTTCATATCCCACACCCCTTCCCCCTAAAAAACTCAAAATGATAAAAATCAACTGTTAATCTTCAAAGTATGCAAAATAGGGTGACTAGGAGAAACTAAATATAAACCGAAACATTTGATCGCAACCAAACTCAAGTATGGATAGTCAGTTGCGTTCAAGTATCAAAAATGTTCCGACCACATAATTTAAAAAAAAGTTCTTCAAATTACTAGAAATCAAAAAAGTGTCATTTCTTGGGCGTCGTGTAATGAGAAAACTATACCTACGCGTAGAATGTTGGTCAATTAGGCATAATCGACAACAGTCCTCGTCAAAATTAAAAAAAAATGAAAAAATTGTTCGAATATTTCTAGTTTTTTGCACGAAAAATTATTGATTTTTAAGAAAATTTTCATTGCCAAGGAAGCGCTAAAGTTAACATCCAAAACGAGCTCTAGTTTACAAAACAAATTTCAAGCCTAAAACACCAAGTTTTATAAAAACAAACATAACGCGATCACTTTAATCGCTCGAAAATAGTCAAAAACTTAAAAAATTTTAAGCCGTTCTTTCTCGACTGAGACAATTTTTTGAATGTCGTTCGAACAAAGGTTGAAAAGACTTCAATATGATATATCACTCGACTTAATCCGATGATTGTCTGTGGTATCGCATTTTGCGTGGAAAATAGAAAATACTAAAACACACCCGAATGCAAATTTCATCGGCAATTTCAAGGGTCGGAAAAAGGCAGAAAAACTTTTTAAGGTCTCGTTCGAATCAAGATTGAAAAATCTTCAGAAAGAAAGACCACTCGACTCATTCTGATAAATTTGTGCGGAACTTGATTTAGCATGGAAAACAAAAACACACCCAAATGAAAAGAGAAAAAAGACTGAAATTACCAACAGCAATGGTGGTATGAAAATAAACTTCATGAACGACATTGTAAACATATGCAAACCAAATAAATATTGAAGTTGTAGCCAATTAGTTTACAAGTTGAGCGGAGGCAAATTGTTGCACATTCTTTTTGAATGTGTTCGGAGGCTCTCCGGGAGATATACTTAACGACTTTGTCAGCGCGTTCCATGTGTAGACCACACATACACCTCCTCGAAGCAGAATACTTCCTCTACTTTTTCAACCTGGTTGGAAGGCGCTCCGAGTAAAAGAATTTCTTAGATCGAAGGAAATGATTAAAACAGCATCTTAAATTTGAAATATTTTGAAGCATCATGATTGATATTCCCCGCGAACAGCTTGTTTAGAAAAAACTGGTCGGCAATTAGATGTTTATGCGATATTAGTAATAGACTCAAAAACTTCAGTCAATTTATTAACACGGAGCCAGCCGTGTTAAAGATCTAGCTGCTCTTTTCTGAAATATTTAGAGGCGACGCAACATTGCGAGCTATACATCGGTTTATAAGGAAAAATTATTTATAAAGATTGATACTGTTGTAACGACTTTCAGACGTATGATTATGTTATTCAATTGTCGCAGCCGGTTGTTTAAGTTTTCGTTCCACGATATATCAGATGTTAGCAACCATCCAAGGCCCTATGCTTGGGAAAACTGCTGGATCAAGTCTTTTCCGTTGTTGTAGTAGCTACGTCTAACGCATTGTCTGCGGGATTTATTTTTGATTCAGTTCTTATTTGCCATCGCTTTTCAGTACTTCATCTCCGTAGAAGACGAAGGTTGATTGGGATTGTTTCCCAACTCCCTGCCCAGTACCCTTGTCCCTCGACATGATAGTTTGGGTGTGCCACATGTGTGGCTACATGAATACCTTTTCGAAGTCAGATATTCGTCATTGTCGATATTGGCTGTTTAGAAGTCAGTATCTGCGTCGTTGATTCTGAGATTTGATTGTTAAAGAGAGTTCAGGTCTCCCGCTCCCTCTGGATACGAGGAGCTCAGAAACTTTGAGGGGATGCAGCCAGAAGGCAGTAGTCAGGCCCATTAGGAGGTTTCGGGCTCAGTTAAATAAATAATGAAAGTCGTGCGGCTTCTCATTACAATCAGTACAGGAATCTTGTACCACACTACTTAGAAAGACGTATGCGCGCTATTCGTAGCAACTCGAATGCACTGTCATATATATGAAAAGGTTCACGTTGCATTAGCTTTGAAGGTTTGAGGTAGTTTGTAGCCTCGTTGTGATGGATAACCTTAAGTGATTTCCGCGTTATTAAGCCCTCATCCAGATAATGGAATTCAACACCTTAGGTGGTGCTCAGTGTGGATTTTATGTGTCGTTTAATTGGATGTTGGGTTGTCTGATAGTCGGAACGGTGACTCTGGTGGCATCCGACTAGAAATTGTTTTGCCAGAAAATCTGCTTGAATCTTTACAAGCAAGACTTTAGTTTCCCTGTGAAGGTCATCAATTTTTGTCATTTCCACAAACATTTAGTTTCCCTGTGAAGGCCATCAATTTTTGTCATCTTTACACAAACATTTATTGTTCTGAGGGCAATGTTTTTTGAATTAGGAGGCTTCTCCAGTTTCTTTTGCTTAGTGATGGAGACCAAATTGGTGCTTCATGGTTAAGCACACTGCGCCCGATGACCTTAAATTTTCCTATCTTCTTTGGAACAAACCCAGTGTTCCTGTGTTTCTTTGAAACAACCCCAGTCATTTGCAGAAAAATTTATGACAATATTCCGCTTTTGCTACTTGTCAGCGGTAGCTTGGATGAGTTCATTGAAAGTAAGCGGGCTGTCTAAGACCACGCCTAGCAGTTTGAGTTTTGACTTAAGCAGAATATGAACTCATGAGTGATTGTTAGACTTCTTAAGTTTTGACTTTTCTCAACTTGAGTGAACCGACCCTGTAAGCATGAGGTTATCCAGCGTTTGGTCCTGTTGCGCACATCCGCTTTCAAAGCATCAACTATTAGTACGTTGTGGTCAACCGTATCAAAGGCGGAGGTGAGGCTACCAAAAGGTTACGATCGCGTGGTTTGTGCTTGTTGAGACCTAGCTTGATGTCATTAGTTATTATGTTCAGAGCTGTAGTTGAATTCTCGGCTATGAAGCCATGTTCGTGTTTCGTTAGAGGTAAAGGGAAAAACCAATTAGCAGCAGCCTTTCGATTACCTTAGCAATTGAGGATCGTAGTGCGAGCGGTCGAAAAACACGCATTGAAAATCACTTTATTCCTCATCTTCAAGGGTCGGAGTGAAAAAAAAGCGTTCATACTTCAAGCACTTAAAAAATTTGAAACCTTTAAAAATTAAACGTCGTTCGAATCACGACTGAAAGGGCATCGTTATGATATCATTCGACTTATTCCGATTATTGCTTTAAGCAACCTCCTATTTAACATATTTTAAAACACAGAGGCGAAGCGGAGCTTCACAACACTTGCGATGCAAAAGAACACATTTACAAGAATGAAAACAAATTGCGCTATAACATTGTGAACAAAGGCGACACACTTTGGGTCGAAACCTGTTGAGCCGAAAACAAAACTGTTGTCATTAAAATTTCATAAAATTCAAAAGCATTTACGACCCATCCGAACTGAAACACATAATCCCAAACGGATAAGTTTGGCTCTCGAAACTACGCAAAATAAGTTGACGAAGTCGATCAAACATAAACTGAAACTGCTTGAATGTTTATAAAAACGAAAAAAGCTCAAAATCAGACATGACAAGTTTACAAATTTGTGAAATTCCAGTCATAGTAAAAACTGTTTCAATGGGAACAAAACCCATGCTTTAAAAAGTAAACTTAAGAAACCCTGCCAGATGAAAAAAATCGCGTTTAAAAGACGCAAAGTGAATCAACAGAAACTAGGACGAAAACCACGAACCCGAAAAAGTGAGAAATTTTGAAAAGGTTATTACTACCTGAAACGGATTTGAACTAATTACTACTTAAGTATCTTTTAGAGGAAGATACTACGTAGGTATCTTCCTCAAGAAGTGAAATCTTCTAGAAGATCCTCTAGAAAGGCAGATCTTGTGGACAAAAATGTTTACGGGAAAAAAAGTCTAGTACCCGATTGCAATAACCTTACTTATCGCAAGAGTAAAATTATTATGACTATCAGTTCTGATTTAAAAAATTATGTAAAACAGAAGAGAACTCCAAGCTTGCGAAATTCAGCCAACAGAAAGAAGCAGACAAACGACAATCAGTCAATTCAGTTTTCCCTCAGAAAAATCTATTTCATATACGCGAACATCACAATATACGAAGCCCGTTTTACCTTTAGATCAAGAAAGAAGGATCCAAGTTTAATTTCTAACAGATTTGTAGAAAAGTTGTTTACGAGAATAAAAGTCTAGTTACCGATTAGGGGTCACTAGAGCTTTCGCGAGTAAAATTACGCCCACAAAAAGAATTATGCATCGAATATATTTCAGCTATGCCAAGTTCAGGAAAAATTAAACAAAGATCTTTTAAATTACATTTGAGATCTAAATAGTATGAATCACAAAGGCATTCATCTCGATTATACTTTGCGACAGATAAACTTACAAGACGCGGATCTCTGGGTTTCGTTCTTCTGGTCCAATGTCCCGATAGCTGTATCATAATTATATAGAGTAAAACTAATGGAAAAGAGTTCAGAGTCAATAACGCGTAAGCAAGATCTGAGAAGCCCCGAATTTTGGGATAGCTGATAAAATCATTATCGTTCTCTTGTATTACCGCCTGCGATCGCATTATTGCACCAAATCTGAAAAAAGGTTCATCGAAACGAATAACTACCAAACAAGAATGGTGGAAATACTATATCATAAATGAGAAGGTCAGAATCTATCATGATAAAAGAAATTACTATACTAGTCCTTCGTCAGATTACGTCTCAAATGGCATAATTCCCAAATGGCATAAAAATTAAAAATTTCCCAAATGGCATAAATTTCATGCAACAGTTGCTTTGGAAAAATCGAGAACAATTTTTTCGTGAACAATGTGAGAAAATTAGTCAAATTGTCAATTGACATTTGTTGATTGACATTTTATCGTGAAAAACTTGTAGAACTTTTTATCAAAAGCAAGAAGCATAAGCATGCGATTATTAATAAGCTGCTTGTGGTCAATTTTTTTTCGACAAATCTGTTGCTTAAATTTGTTTGGAAGCAATTAATTCCAAATCTTGTTCTCATGCTTTCGTTCCTGACAAAATGATAGAATTAGAAATTGATGGAAAACGTTTAAATTACAATGAAAACTTGAAATTTATGCCATTTGGAAAAAGTTTCCATTTTTATGCCATTTGGGAATTATTCCATTTGGGAAGTTACCCTTCGTCATATCGCCCAGTCAAAAAACCATTTGAATGTCGTAAATTGGTGAAAATTAAAGTATAACGTGAATAAAAGTAAAGAGTACGATGGTGATAGTGGACAAAGCAGCGCGGTCCCTCCTTGCGTCATACTAGTAATGGTGGAACAAGCAGCTATAAAGGAAACAAATCGCGCCTGTAACAGTTGTTGTTTTATGTCACAATACTCAAAGGCTCAAAATGTATTACAAATCCAATATATGTTAAGGATAATCATTAACAGCAAAAAAAGATCTTGACTTGTAGAAAATTTTGGGCCAAATCCCTAAATAGTACTCGACTTTAAGTTGTGACAGCTTGACATTTTTCACAGACAATACGTGATGCGTTAGACATGGAAGTCTAGAATCGTTTATTTTATACTTTACATTTCCCTAATTTAAGAAACTCCAATGGTTTCTTGACCAGGTGATATCATGAAGGACTAGTGAAGTAACTTCGGTTTCCACGATAGTTTCAGATCTTCTGATTTAGTTTTTTCACCAATAAAAGCCATAAAAAAATGAATACTATCATGCAATTTTGAAAGTAATTCAGTGAAACACGTCCAGGTTAAGCCTACTTAGATTTGTCAAAAAAAAATTTGGCTCAGAATATCGAATATATCAACCAAAAAAACTGTAAAATTGAAAAATTAGTACAAGCAAACGCTAAGTTAGATTAAAATACTCAGAAGTTTAAGGAAAACTAAAGATTACAAAATTCTTACTCAAAAATGCTTAAATTTGATTAGAAGATTTTATTTTTTGTTTAGAACCACTTAATGGTATTTTATGAAGTTTTAACGACTGAAAATCATTTTATATCAATTTTATTAGCCTGACGATGGACATACTTCCGAAAACGTTCGAACTCACAACTTGAAAATTTTTCTTCTTAACAATTTATAAGTAATTTGATACCCCAGAAAAGCTAAAAGCTTGGATTTTGAACTGTTTTACCCGAACGGGGGCGCAGTTTTCAAAAACATTTAGCATTTCAAAAATTTGATAAAGAGAAGTGAAAAAGACTGAAAAGAATTTTGTTGTTTTTTTTATTCATTGTTTATTCATTTTCTGATGTTTTTATGTGGAGAATGATCCATATTGTGGCAGCCTGTTCTCTTGCGCACAGCCTGAAAGACCTCGACGCAGAGGAGAAAAGAGACTTTTCGGGGCACATCACAACCATACCGGGCCTTGCATTGAACCACAATCAAGTCAACAGGGACAAGAATTTGTTGAATTTGCTCGATAAAAGCCCATTGAGGGGAGATGATAATTTAGTGTTGTGGCACGACGTTATCGATAATTCTTTTACAAGCCACAGGACGAACATTTTTTCCCCTAGTTCAATCGGAGGTCTCTCTCATCAAGAGTCTAGAAGACAGAAAGGACCATATTCGAGCCATCGTATACTGCCAAAGGAAGGGTGCCCCAAACGTATTGAATTGATAAAGGCGGGGATTCATGGAATTGATAAAGGCGGGGATTCTGACCATCTTGACGAAAAAGTTTCTGGTCTACAAATTTGAGCAGGAGTGTCAACCCCAGATCATCTAAGGGCACAGCGAGCTCCACCAACAACACGAGCTCGAACTTAAGTCTTTGCGCCTTGTGTGGGAGCACATGGAGCGGTTGTCCGAGCTGTCCTAGTGTCATCAAGAGCTGAAAGACAGAAAGGACCATATTCGAGCCATTATATACTGTCAAAGGAAGGGTGCCTCAAACGTATTGGAGGAATTGATAAAGACGGGGATTCTGACCATCTCGACGGAAAGTTTCTGGTCTCCAAACTTAAGCAGAAGTGTCAACTCCAGATCATCGAAGGGTACAGCGAGCTCCAACAACAACACGAGCTCGAACTAAAGTCTTTGCGCTTGGTGTGGGAGCACAAGGAGAGGTTGTCCGAGCTGATTTCGAAAAGAAGAAGCAGAAAGAAAACACATCTTCGCAGACCCGGCGCAGGGCACAGTCAAAGCGGGTAGCTGCGGATAGACAGCAGAAAGACGACAGGCCGGAACCAAAGTGAGGTTAGTTGCATTATGGGATTTGCACTGTTAGCACCTTGTGAGTTTTTGCTTCTCGTGGCTAGCAGTGCAATGAACATTGTGCACTTACCACCGCCGTTCCTGAGGTTCATTCTCGGAAAAGAATTTTGTAGAAAACTGTTAAATTATACAAAAAACTTGAATAAATTTAACAATAGCCAATATCGTCTGAAATTTCTGAGAATATGCCTAGATTCCGATATGATACCTAAGTTTTGCGGTTTAGGGTACCTGAGAATGGGGTGTTTTCGGACCAAGCGGTTCACCGCTTATAACTTAAACTACTTAGAACAGAGATGGGTAGGGCGAAAGAGGATAGCTGTAGTGCAGCGGTAGACTTGGACAAGTTAAGGGACATAGTCAGGAGAACAATGAACAATTGACGAGAGATTATGGCCATCGGTCATTAACAATGTTCTGCGTCAAGCAAGGGACAACGCATTAGCCACGCGCCTCAGTCACTATCAGGAAATTGAGAAGTTAGCTGATAGACAAGACAGACTCCAAGGAAAGATACACAGAAAAGCGGTAAAACTACTAGATGAGATAAAATTGCCGGGATGGGTGGATGAGTTACTGTCTATGGGGCCTAAAGATCCAGTCCGAGACAAATTCAATGAAGTCCTTTTTTAGCAGACATATATATTTTTTGTCGGAGCTGAAGAAGCATGACGTGCTTGGCGCAGCTGCTAAGTGGTACACAAAAAAAGTATGCCAGACTCCACGTGATATGGGAATTGAAAAAGCTAGTAAATATCTCAAAAACAACGCACTACTGGCGGTACCTTTTGATAAGGGTGTTGGCTTTTGCGTAAGGAAAAAAAACATATATGAAGGAAAACTGACCCAGTTGCTAGAAGCAGAACAGTTTGAAAGACATGATAAAATGAATCATTCAGTGGTTCAAAAAATTTAACAAAGAACTACTGGCCATGAACAAAAGGAAGGAGATTACAGATGGCTTATTTGAGAGGTTGAAGTCAACTGGTGGTCAACCTGCACGACTTTATGGACTGGATTAAGTACGTTAAAAGGATACACCACTATGACCTGTCCTCTCTCTACCTGGTAGTTCTCATGAGAAATTGAATAAAACAGTAGCAAAAATTTTGATAAAATCGAGGGTACAAATATTGAGACCAACACTGAAGCAGCTAGGGATATGAAAGAGAATACTAAATTAGACTGAAGAGAATATCATTTCGTTGGGTGTGAAAAGCATGTACACAAATGTTCCTCTCAAAGATGCCATTGACAACGCGCTTAAGAAATTTTACAGCCAGAATGAGCCACATCAGTTGTCAAGCAGTACAATGAAACACCTTATATACAAGGCTGTTAGTAATGTCCATTATAAACGCAAAGACACACGGTATCTACAAAAGGATGGATTGGCCATGGGTGCATACCTGCCAGTCATTCTGGCAAACCTCTGATTGAAAGACTATGAGAAAATTGTGGCTATGGACTCAAAAGGACATGAACGGAAAATGCCCAAAATGCAAAAGAAGGGTGACTCTCAGAAGCAAGGCTGAGTAATGTGAGGATTGTTTGAATTGGTATCATAAAGATTGCGGTGGCATTTCAGATAAGGATTACTAAGGCATATCAGAAAGTTTGCTTCTGCAAATTGTGCAATGATAGGCGTGAAATTGAGCTTACAATAACAAGTGTGTAGCTTTTCCTACGATATGTAGACGATATTCTAAGGACAGTTATAGGCGACCCGATCGTGGTATTGCAAGCTGCCAACAAATTACACCCTAACTTACAATTCACACTTGAAACTTCAAACGAGAACGGTGACTTGGCTTTTTAAACTTTAATATAAATGCAGATGGCAACAAACAAACTAAATGTGGACGGTACCAAAAACCAAAGGATACTGGCACGCTTCTTAACTTCAGAAGTTGCGCACCACTGAAGTACAAGCGAAATATAATAGAGGGTACGGTGCACAGGATTTTTAGGAGCACATCCACATGGGATCTTTACCATGAACATTTGATTTAATTATTTTAACGATAATTTCTTCGAAGAAGATTTTATTCCTTATGAAGCGGATGAAGATTTTCCTCCTTATTTAATAGTTTACATCATTGGCGAATCATCGCTTGATCGTGCCATCGAAATCTTTTCCTGTTACCGGATTCGGATTCAACCCCAACAACAAATCCCTTGAAAATTCTACAAAATCAGCTTATTCGAGGAAATCTACGAGATAACAACGATATCGTTATCTTGCAGGACATGATAAACAACAGCATCTTTCCCCATTAAAGCAACACTAAACCGTCACTTCATGAAATCGTACTAACCGATAGCGGTCTAAGCGATCTGGCGGCTAAAAATAAGCAAAACCTATGAGCCTTATTGTTTTGATAAACGCATTAAAAATTTTCAGACAAATGCGCGGATTCGTGTAGAAAGTAATATCACACTAAAAGCCTCATAACCTGCTGGTCCATCTGGTGAAACAAATCTAAGTCCTCTGGTCAAACCACAGATCAGCGACTCACGCCGCTTGTTGCAGAGGACTGAGTAGCAATTCCTGGCTATGTTCTTCGTGCAGACTCCGCATGGCCATTTAGGCCCAGGGTTTCTTTCGACGCCGGCTCTAATTTGTAGGTTGTGGAGCAGAGCGGCCGGTATGTGCTGCTCCCAAACCAAAAACACGACAGAGAGAGATAGAGGATAGATTGTGTCCCATTGGCCGAGAGATCTTGGGGGAGGTCTCGGGTGGTTCCGCGACGTAGACGCTGGACACTTGAGAACCACTCTGTTGGTAAGAATTGGAGACCCATCAGCCTTCTCTGCGCCACTGCCAAGATCATGGAAAGAATCCTCTTGCCTCACATCGAGACTGACTCCGTGTTACAAACAACCCAGCACGGTTTTCGCAAGCACCACTCTACCAACACAGCCCTTAACCACATTGCCGCTGATATCACTCGTGGCTTCAACCAAAAGAAGCCAGCCGACAGGACCAACCTGGTTGCTCTCGATCTCACCGCTGCTTTTGATACAGTAGATGCCTTACCGAGCGCATTCTGCTCAATCCAGCTCCGAACAGTGTCAAACGCTGGATGATTAACTACTTGCAAGACAGACAGGCAAAAGTTAATGTCAAAGGGAAGTGCTCCAAGCCTCGGAAAAT